CCAGACATCTTTTCAAGTGAAGTACCTCTAAATTTAAAGTAATGAGTACAATTGTTAATACACTACAGAGTGTCCAGAACGTCTAGAAATAAAGAAGAAATCATGTATTTATTATATTTTCCCATATGAACAATCAGACTCTTTGATGATCTAATGAGATGGCCATTGCCTTTACTTTATCATTCTCCCTACACTTATTAATTATTCTTCATAGCATTCATCACCACCTGACACAATCAAGTGTGAAGGGTTGGTAAACTATAAGGCAATATATAAGTAAGATTACTATTTCCAATGATTACTGTTATGACTATAGTGGTGATGCCGGCTACATGCCTCTTCTAGAGAACTCATGGGAAGGACCCACCTGAAGTAATTTGCTAAGAGATGAGGAGCTTCCATGCTGGAGGAAGCGTGTGGTACACTTGTGCATGAGCACCTATCATGAGTTCCTCTCTACAAACTCCCAGAAATATTTGAAAACTACATGATAGAAATTAGCAGTACTGTGAGAGTCGTTGGAATTTGGATGATTTTCACTGATGTCGTATTTGTACCTCCAGGTCAGAAACACCTTAGGAAACTTGAATTACAATAACAAGTCATTTTTACTTCTGTTACAATGGAGCTGCATCGCCTATACATTTCATTTATGTGCATGTCATTTATGAAAAATCTATTGTGGTGGATTGGCTAATAATAATAATAACAATAATAACAATAATAATAATAATAATAAAATACTATAAAACAGCCAATGCATACTGATAAAGACTGTAGAAATACTTTGTGGGTTATTTTAAGAGTTTTCCAACATTGAGAAAGAGCTAGGAGGCATTGTATAGGTGGCCAAACACATAGGTGGTTTAAAATAAAATATGCACATGGCTATGAAGACATTCTTCAAGGAGAAATGTAATTACTAAAGACAGTAGAGAAGCTCTGACAAAAAAAGAGCTAGCTAAAAGAACTAATAAAAGCATCTGCAGTATTCTATGATAACACAAAATTGGTACCCTGCCCTTCATGTGTAACATAAAGTAACTCCAAGGGCAATTTGGATTCTGACTTTCTAACATAATCCTCAATAAGATGTGATTCCACTGTACAAATACTAAAGAAATGGAATCCTTCTCAGATGTTGCAAGTGCGTTTTGAATTTCATAGGCACTCACAAACAATATTTGGAACAGCATGATAACAGCGTGATTTCATGATGGAAAAGGAAGAGCAGATATAAACCTATTAGGAATCTTTCTGAACCAGGATTCATGAAATCCATTGTCTCTGACTCATCAACAGCTATTTTGGAGAAAAATGAACAGGTAAGCCCATCTTTTACCTGGAATCTTTCCTTTTTAATAAAAAATTTATATTTGGTTTATCTAAATTTAAATCACAAAGATGTTTTAGAGCTTTGGACTTCTCACTATAGCTGTACACTAAATATTTGCTAGCTACTCATTTTTCACTTACTGCTTTAAGTAAGTTTCTGCCAAAAAGATAGAAATTTGATATTTAGGAAACATTTGAGACAACATTTAAGAAACACCGTTGTTTCAACGTGCGATGAAATCTTAGAATTTAAGACCAGTTGGAGCTCTTTTGGATAGTTTGAAAATGTGATATTTTAAAAGCTAGAGCCTCTATAGCCAAGTGGAAAAACATGTGAATGCTGTGTTAGTGCATTCATTTGACAGCTATTTTCTGAGCATCTACTCAGGGCTATTTTCCAAGCTCCTACTGTAGAAAAAGGTGCTCAGGGAGGACTTCTTGTAGAAGGTGATATTTGAGACATATGAGACCTTCTTGAATGATAAAAAGCCAGTGCTGTGAAGGGAAGAAGTGTTTCAGGGAAAGGAACAAAGGCCAGAGTGGCTGGAGCCTGGACTAGAGATGTGAAATATGGGGGCTATTCGTGTGAGGCCTTCCAGTGGAAGGTTTAATGCAGGAGAGTCATGAGCTGGCTAACATATTTAAAACCTCACTCTGGGTGGTTTGTGAAGTGGCCATAAAAGGGTAAGAGCCGAGGGGTGCGGGGAGAGAGAGAGAGAGACAGAGACAGAGACAGAGAGACGGAGAGAGATAGAGAGACAGAGAGAGAGACAGAGGGAGAGAAGAGGCTATTACAGTTGTCCAGGAAAGAGCAGCAATGTGTAGACCAGAGCAGTAGTCCTGCAGATGGAGAGAAGTGGTCAGATCTCAGATGTTCAGTGTATCTCTTAGAACAATTGACTATACTTTGCTCCCCAGTTGCACCTGGCACTTGAATGTGGTGTACATTATGAATCTATTAAGCTCATTACCATGCTATACATTTATACATAACTTCTCATTTGAAAAGTTATGTTGTTATTGTATTATTTGATTTTCATAAAATCCCTGTGAAGCAGACAAGTTAAATATTAATCCCACCTAAAGAGCTTAAATGTCACATAACTAGAAGGTGTCTTGCCTAGGGGCTCTAATATCTAATCTAAGTTCCCCCCTCAAATAAAACATTGTCTACCTATAAAAATTAAAAAAAAAAAAAAACGTTTTTCATGGCATTGTGAGAATTTAGCCTATATTGATAAGGAACATATAGTTCAAGGTTAAAACAAGTTAGGAAAACATCCTGATATGTTTTAATTGTGTGCAGCTGGATGTCCCAGATATACATATAAACCTAGAGGTATGAAAATATGTAGGCTTTCACACAACAAAGGGAAGTAACCATAAGGGGACTTATTGAGGACATGGAAGATGGAGTTTTGCAGAATATAGAGAATATTAGAACTGGAAGGGATTGTAGAAACAAGGCAATACTATTTTACAGATGAGCAACTCAAAGTCCAAAAAGAAAAAAATGACATGCAGAGATAAATCTGTTGAGAGGATGAAAAGAAAGTGATTGGGCTGAAAAAAAAAATCGCAGGCTGAAAGCCATTGAATGAATAGTTGTCTAAATCTGTAAGGGAAACAGGGAGACTAGAGAAAAAACATGAGTCTATAAATAAATCAGATAAAGGAGGGGAAGGGTGGAAAAATGGCAGACTCACTGTGGGTGACAGTCACTGTTTCCTTACTGATGCCTGCTGGCAGGCACTGCCTCCTTCGATGAGGGTCAGGAGCATCCAGTGGACATCCACTCCTGGGCATCATCCTTTGGAACCAGAGTCTTCTCCTCCTCCATTCTCTGACAGCCCCCAGTGTCTGCTTCTTGTCCACTCCTTTGATTGAATTATCTTTATCCTGACCCACATTAGTCAGTTTTTTGCCTCGGTTCCATTCCTTGCATTTCCTGTCCTTATCATTTGTCTTTCCCTTCTGCCTGATAATTCTGGAGGGGTAGAAATTTATAGAAAAATTTTGAAGTAGGGACTCCCCATTAGTTGACAAATAAGGTTTAAGTATCTTAAATAAGCATTTGGTTACCCACTGGCCAAAGACACCAGCTTTTTTCTACTCTGGTACCCACAATGTACTCTATTTCCCCCAAACAATCCCACTCTTTTGTAGCTTCGTGCCTTTACTCGTCCAGAATGTCCTCCTTTCTAATGTCCACATATTGAAATCGTTGACTTTAGGGACAAGCACAGAAAGTAGGCATCTGTTGTTTTTGCCTGCTCTGCAACTATTTCCTTCTCATTTTTCTTTGAGAATCACCTTTTTTCTACCCTCAGTCATATTGTCTGCATGTGACTGATACTGCCTCTGAATCCAGCAGTGAACCTATCACCCAGACCTAGCATATCAGCATATTACTCCTGGTCAGAATGTTCAAAGACAGTCATAGGAACTGCCTTGGGACAATCAATGCCAATTTTAGGACTTCAGCTAAAACTTTCAAGGTGAAAAAAGAAACCCAACATTTTTCTTTTGAGGTAGCTGAGTCGGTACCAGTATGTTTAAGCAAAAAGAAAAACTCAAAGAAGTAACTAAAGCAAAAGCATTGAAGCTGCTTTTGCCTGAGAACATCTGCTGATCCTAGGAAACCATGACTTTGTGGGGCACAGAAGACTAAGAATAAACCCCAGGAACCTCACAAATAGGCAGTTAAATTGTGATAGACTGGATTATTATCCATAACTCTTAACTTTCTCCTTATAATATGATTATATATCCATACTCTTTGCCATGTAACTTTGGAATGCCATACAGTAAATGAAGTGGGTCAAACTCTGCCCTGCTGATTTGCGGTTTGGCCAAGCAATTTGCTTTGATCATGCCCAGCCAACCCCTGATTTAGCTGACCTGTAGACCCATGAGCACAAAATAAATGCTTACTGTTATAAGTTTTAAGGTATGAGGGCTATTTGTTACCATAACAAAATCTAACTAATTCACTCATAAAGCTGAAAGCTAGAAGGCATATACCCAAAATATATATGCCTTCAGTGTCAGGGTAAAATAGAAGTATGTCTATCATCCTCCTTCCAACTTCACAGAAATGCAAGGAAAGTTGACTCGACACAGGGCAGGTACCATACCTGACAAGTTATAACCATAGGTATGTCCTTGTATGAATTTGTAACACAAATTTATATCACTTAGGTGATCCAGAAACTCTGAAGCTATGAATTAATTTGAAGAAGTCCTGGGATACTAATGTTCCTAAGTTCCTGGAGATGCAAATACTCTTTTGAGAAACTCGCCTTCATCCTAGATCTCAAATAATTTCTCCAAAAATATATATAGCCTTAGGAAAATGACAAGTTCACAATCAAAAATAACTAAGCACACAATAAAACAAAGACAAGTCATGATAAGTGAGAAACAATAGAAAATGGACAGTGGAAACACAAACCAGGAAGCAACATACTATGTTTAGTATGTTTTTAAAAGTAAAAGATAAGCCTAATGATATTTTCATTGAACAATAAATTTTAAGTGACTATGAGAATTGAAGAACAAAAACTTCTAATTGTAAAATAAAATAACAACAATGAAAAAACCTGTAATAGGTTGAAACAGAAAATTTTACATAGTTAAAGACAATTAGCAGATTAGAAGATGGATCATAGGAAATTATCCAGAACATAGCCTAGAGAGGCAAAGAGATGGAAAACACAAAAGAGAGGTTAAGAGACATGGAATGAGTTCCAACATACATCTAATTGAAGTTTCAGAAAACGATGATAAACATAAAAGGGCAAATGCAATATTGGGAAACAAACTCTGAAGAATAAGTGATTCTAGATGTTCCATCAAACATCAAATATCTAGAAATATATATAAGAAAATATAAGGAAGACCGCTACACTGGAAACTACAAACCTTATTAAGAGAAATTTTTAAAGACTAATTGGAAGCAGATACATGGTTATAGATTGGAAGACTGGTGATGTCAACTCTTTCCAAACCAATCCATAGATTAAATTAAATCCCAATTAATGTAATTGAGAGCATATACTATGGTTATGGATTAGAAGACCCAATATTATAATGATGTCAACTCTCCCCAAACTAATCTATAGATTAAATTAAATTTTAATTAACATCCTAGCAAGAGTTTGTGTCTGTGTGTACACAAATTGATTAATTCAAAAATGTATATAGAATTAGAAAGGTCCAAGAATAGCTAGAATGACCTAAAAGGAGGAGTGAAGTATGTTGAGATTTCTGCCTTGTACTGGTTAAATCTACCTATTAAAAATATTAAAAATGCAATATGACCTTAACATTTTAAAGTAAACTTTAGAATATAAATAAGATGTCAATTTCAAAACTATTAGTAAAAAATAAATAAAATTTGATGACTTTGATAAAAAGGCAGGAAGAAAACAAAAACAAATTGTAAATCCAAATGTATCAATATCACAATAAAGGAGACAGGATTAAATTTCTCAACTAAAGACAGAGACTCTCTGATTTGGATTTAAGAAAAGATTCAGCTGTGTAGTATTTATAAAAGACACATCCCTTAAAAATGAGATACTGAAAGATAAACTTGGCAAATGCTAACAAAAAGAACACAGACGTAGAAATATTAATAGTAAATAAAATTCAAGAAAAAGGCATTTTATAGTGACAGAATTCAAATAAGATAGATAATTTAAGCATCTAATAATATTTAGTTTTGAAATATATAAAACATGAAAATAATGGAAAAATCATAATCATAATGTAACATTTTAATATTCTTTTCACAACATGTCTACTGCAGATATCGCTGTACTTTGCATATGGCAGGCAATAAGCATTTATTATTTCATCAAAAAACTATTGATTTATAATGAAAAAATTTTAAAGTAATAACTTCATGGCTAAATAGCCAAAAACTCTGAAAACATTGATAAATAATAAGGAAAAATAACATTAGAAACTGGCATTTATGTCAAAAAATAAACAATTAAGTTAGTTTTCCCATCTTTATGCTTTTCTGTAGTTTCTCAATTTTCCATAAATTTATTATTTTTATTCCAAGAGAAAAAATAAGTTTATTTTTTATGTTCTTTGCTGCCCAATGCAATCTCCCATATCTTACCTTGTTTCTGCTAGAGTCCTTCTGCTAGATCCACTTTCTGGAAAACAAACAAGCAAACAAACAGAAAATATCACCAAACTTATACTGGGCTAACTTTATTAAGGCAGTTTACTTAGAGTGGTATTTCTATAGTGAATGCTCAAAGCTTCTTAGCCTCAATTTCCAAGAACAATTTTAAGTTTTACTGAAACCCAGGATCAATCATAATGGGAATAAATCAAGGAAACCCATTGAAAACTCTTTACTAAAACCTCAGATCCCTTTATGACTCTCCTCCCTTCTCTTTCATTACTACTTCCAAATCAATTTCTAGAATGTTCTAGAAACAACTCTTTTTTCTCTATCTACCACTAGCCAGCCATAGTCCTTCATCATTTCACACCTGAATTATTACATCCATCTCCTAACTGGTCCTGAGTATATTTCCTAAATAACTTTTTTCATGTCACACTTTTTTTCAAAGTCCCTGATTCTTTGTAAAATCAAACTTAAATACCTCATTCGAGGGCCTTCAAAATATGGAGTCCCTGAAATGTGTGTATGTTGTAAAAAACATCTATATATCATCTATCTATCTTTCTAGACATATTTCTATGTACTATACACTATATATATCTTTTTTTATATATAGATATAGAGATATTGAGATAGAAATAGATATACAGTATGTATCTATATATGTATATACTCTCATAGATAGATAGATAGATAGATAGATAGATAGATAGATAGATAGATAGATTCTATCACTCTCTCTCTCTTACACACACACACATACACACACACACTCACACACATAGCGAGGAGTATCTCAAGTCCAAAAAGTAAACGAAATTGTGTAAAATACTTACTGAGAAACTTAAGGCCATATAGTATTTCAATACAGGATTTTAATTTACCTGTTTCCAACATTTAAAAATCAGAAACAATGCTTTTAATTAAAAAAACGACAGTATTTGGAAAGTCTGCTCAGTTCCATGTTGTGGCTACTGCAGCAGACTGCTAGTCATCCCCTGAAAGTCTATCACTGCAACCTCTGCTTCTGTTGTCATGTCGTCTTCTCTCTCTGACTCAGATCCTCCTGCCTCCCTCTTCTAAAGACCCCTGTGCCTACAGTGGGCCCATGCACATCAGCCAGAATGATCTCCCATCTTACTCTCTTTTGATAATTCGCATCTGCAAGATTCTTTTTGCCATATAAGGTAGCATATTCTCAGGTTCCAGGGATTAGGACATGGAATCTTCAGGAGGGAGGGGGCATTATTCAGCCTAATACATGGCCCTAACTATCTCCTTGCACCATACTCAGGGCTCAGAGGGGTGGCAGGAGAGGAAAGACACAGCCCTTACCTTTCCCTCTGGCCCTCTGGGGCCCAGGAGAGAGGTCAGCATCTTCAGGGACAGGAGGAGGCGTGGCTGTGGGCTCCACACAGCCTGGGGTAGTCCTCTGCTTTGTTGACGACTTCCTCACCACAGTGACTCTGGGAATCAGGGTTCTTGGGGACACCACAATCAAGCCACAGCTTCCCCCCTCATGAGTCTTCCCACATTCTCTGACATCATGGGTCCTGTTGCAGGAAAAAGAAATTACACCTAGATAAAAGAGTCTTCTCACTTACAAACTAAAATATGCATTCAACAGGCGCTAGGAGATAGCTAGACCACTGAGCACCTCCCAAGGTCAGGGCTCTAATCTCAAGGGCTCTTCATACTCTTAATGGTATAGAGAGGGCAGAACTTTAGTCCCTAAATCAATTTTCCTAACATTTTAACACCAACATTCACTTTACATAAACATGAAAGTCTTACCTTTTCCTCTAGTATAATTCATTTTAACCTAATCTAATTAGGCATCACAAAAACCTAATCCAGGTATTTGTGGGGAAGTGTTCCTGGTTGAGAATTGGTGTATTTTCCCTAGCTTGCAAGCATTTGTTCCCCTTTGCAAATATAACTAAAATATTGAATACGCTTTCTCAAATTATATAGTCCTCTCCCCCCACCCCACCACCACTTAATTATAAAAACACTATTCTAAGTTCTCTTCAGTATGTAGAGAATCTCTCCCCTATAAACCATGTGCCTTTTCCAAGACACTTCTTTAAGGCTGAGAATCGGCTTGGTTTGGGATATCCCAGACTGTAGAAAGGTTTTCATTGCCCTTAACATGGTTCTGAATTTTTCAGAGTAGTCCATAAGTCTCAATCTCTGTGCTTCCTTACAGTTCAGCGGAAGGCAGCAGAGAGCTTGGCCCTGAGTGTGATTCAGTCCTCCAGTTTTCCGTAGAGTCGTCCTCATTTCCTGGAAAGCAAAACAAACAAACAAACAAAAAATGATTCTATGACCTGGGCCTGTGGAGGCCACTGAGCCTCTCTAGATCCCAAGCAGTGGCCCTGCTGGACTTTGCAGGATGGAAGGGGGAGGCCCTGTCACTGCCTGCCAGCCCATCACAGGCCACCTGGGATTGACTCAGATGCAGCTCCAGCAAAGAAGTTTGAGTGTGTCCAAGATCACACTAGGGAGCGATCCTGAGCAGATAATATTGCTGGATCTCTCCCACCAGGAGAGGCGAGGGTAAGGAGTGTCTAGGCTTTAAATTTTTTTCTGTTCCTTTTCTGTAAAGCACTAGGCTTGATTTAAGTCATTCAGTCAACTAAACTGACTGAGCACTGTGTGAAACCCTGGATATGTAGCATTGTTAAGGCTCTAAAAGTTTTCCTAGGAGATTCGGACACTATGGGTAGTGCTCCATAGGCACACAAAAAGGAGGCTCTGCTTCCCACAGGCAGTCAGGAGGGCTCCTCAGGTGAGGTGACTAAAGAGTGGAGGTTTGAAGGATGTGTGTACATTTGCAAGGGGAAGAGGTGAAGTATGTTCCAGGAAGAGAGAAAGGCCAAGAGAGCCTCCCATGTTTGGGAAGTGGAGAGGAGAACATGGAGGAGAAGTGAGGTGGGAGATGAGGTTAAGGGGGATGCCTTCAAAATGCGGGCTCCTGCTCCCTGTTGGTGTAACTTCAAGTTTAGTGCTCCTTCTCTTTTGTTTTTAATGGTGTTTATTGTTCTTTTATGATTATCAAAGTCGTACAAGATGACAAGTGATGTTGATTTGCTTCCCCCAACAGGCACTTTCCCTTTGAATTTCCTAACAGAATCCTGATATGTAAAGGTGTCTACCCTACCCTTCACCATTTGACTCACTGAGACTGATCTCATCTCCCCAGCTCTTTGGAAAAGACCCTACTTTCTTGAATCTTGGAGTCTAGAGATCTGATGTCTGGGCTTATGACAAGCCAAGAATTCAGGTCTAAAGCAGTACGTGGTCTTCTCCTGGAAGATGCCCTTGGTCCTGGGGTGGGCACATGAGCTGAGTTGCTTCAGTCTAACCACAGAGAAAAACTTATATGCTTATGGCTAAGCAAGAGGTTTCTTTTCTTCTGCTGGATATGAGCAAAGAAGCATGTCACTCCAAATTGCCTTGAGCTTCCATCTGGCAACTATGAGGGAAGCCAGGCTGAAGACAAGAACTCACTGAGCAAAGCAGAATCAAAGAACCACAGAGAAACAGAGAAACAGAACTGCAGCCTAGATAGTACAGTCCAGGAATCTCCACCCACCTCCAGAATACTTGCGTGTGAGATAAGAAATGTTTTTGCAGTAATGTTGCTTGCGGGGAAAAAAATCCTAATAGACACTGATATTTGTTTGAAATATCCGTTTGTCTTTGATTTTTTTAATTTCATTTTTTATTTTGTGTATGGGGTTGTATAATTTGCATGCGGTCACATCTATCTTCGTGAATTTTTCTGTTGCTTTTATGCCTATGAAGATTTTCAACATATTGAGATCAATTAGGAATCCCCTAAAAGGAGTGGTCGGCTTATAAAGCTCTCTTTCTCTCCCTCTCTCTTTCTCTCTTTCTCTCTCTTCCAACTCCCCTACCCCATGTATGTGTGCACCTTGCTGAATTTGTATGTGTATTTGTAGTTTTCTATGAGGTGATTTTCTAAATATATGTTCGAAATGTTGTTTTAAAGTTCTATTTCAAACTTTCAGTTTGCAGGAAACACAAGAGAATAGTGAAATAAATTAAACAATACTAAGAGTGAACAACCAGACAAATTAAGAATATGGAACATTCTACAATATAACTATCGTGGACTTTTCAAAAAGTTCATGAATCTAAATTGAATCTAGATTTTTTTATTTAAAAAAAACTACAAAAGACATTAATGGAAAAAGTTGTGTATGTTTAAATATAAACTGGATACTAAAAATTATTAATTTTAGGTATAATAATGATACTACGGTTATGTAGGAGTAGATTCTTATTTTTTAGGAGTTTTAAAAGTATTTAGGAGTTGAGTATCATGATGTTTACAATTTACTTTTTTAAATATGTTTTCACCCTTTTTTAATTTAATTTTTTAAATTAAGTTTATTGGGGTAACAATGGTTAATATAATTATATATTGTTCAGGTGTACATTATAATTTGACATCTGTATATTCTATTGTGTGTTTACCACCCAAAGTCTAGTTTCTTTCAGCTACCATGTATTCAATCCCCTTTACCCACTTCACCCTCCCCCTACTCCCCTAAATTTGATCCCCTTTACCCCATCTACCTCTCCCCTTCTCCCCAACTCCCTACCCTCTGGTAACCACTAGTCTATAGTCCATGTCCATGAGTCTCTGTTTGTCCTGTTCATTTGTTGCTTTTAGGTTTATATCCCACATATAAGTGA